GCAAGTAAAACCACAGGGTACCCCAATGTGTTTGCCTTCTATATTTTCCTTCTTGAGTGAAAAGATGCTTTCTGTTAATAGCTGAGATGTGGATCTGTACAGGTGGAGAGTAGCACATATTCTCTTTGAATTGCTGGAACTCCTTGGACCGTTTCTCCACAGCTGAGATAAGGGAGTCAGAGAGATTGTCTTCATATTCCCAGAGTTGGTGAGCCACTTCATCCATTGTTGTGGTGCATTGTCTTTCCAGCTTATTAATGCCAGTGCGTGCATGTGACAATGGTTAACTCGGTACAACTTTACACCACATGGGTAGTAGGCATTGGAGTTCGTCTGTATCTGTGGGCGACTGCTGTTGTTCCAGTCAAAATAAATCATCTCTAGCACAGCTAATTCCCTCAGGTATTGGATACCTTTGTCTACTGCAGTCCGCTTGTCTGGGTGACATATAGCATCTTCCTTGAATTAATACCTTTCCTTCACACTTGACAGGAGTCGCCTCCAGAGGTTAAGAACTCGTGTCCCTCTTCCAAGCTCCTTTTCAATGCCTGCTTTCCTAGAAAGTGATCCCAGGTGCTTGGCTTCCCTATCTAATTCCAAACTGCTAGCCCTGTTACCCCAGCACTGGAGCAACCAGGTGATAATGGGCTCACCTGGATGATGGCTGAAATATTTTTGTATCTCCTGCAGCTTGTTCAAGGATAAGGATCAAGTGGTTATGTCTTGGTCTTGTTCTGCTTCTTCCTCCTGTTCCTGTGATGGCCTTGCTTCATCCTCCTTTACTAAACAAGATGCCTTCCATTGTCCATTTCTTCTTGTGTGTAGCAGAGACTGATATCAGCATGAGTTTGCCCACTGGTTCAGCTCCATTGCTGGGGTCTGAGTGTTTTTAGTGCTTGTCACCAAGGTTTGAGTAGCCGCAATGCTTGTTGCAGGGATTGAAGTAGCTGGAGTTTGAGCAGCCACAGTGCTTGACACTGTAATTTGAGTTGCCGCAGTGCATGTAGTGGGGATGAAAGTAGCTGCAGCATCTGTCTCCAGAGTTTGAGTGGCCATATAGTGCTTGTCACTGGTGTTTGAGTAGCTGCAGTGCCTGTTGCTGGAGTTTGAGTCCTTCTCCTCCTCCTTCGAGCTGCAGTGCTTGTCATGGGAGTTATGGTGACCACAGATGGTTCCTTAACCCTAAACAAGACCTGAACCACATGCAGCAACATGCTGATTCCTACCAAAAGGGCCAGGATGGTTTCAAGGGTATTCAAAAGATATGCAAAACCTTTAAAATTCTCAAACGCTACTGTAATCAACCTGGGGGAAAAAGGAAGGAAGGAAGGAAGGAAGGAAGGAAGGAAGGAAGGAAGGAAGGAAGGAAGGAAGGAAGGAAGGAAGGAAGGAAGGAATGCCTTAAAGAACCTATAAATGAAACAACACACTTTCGAGATAATATTAGTATAGGAGGTAATATAAAGGCTGGTCTTTATTGGAGGCCTCCAAGGGGCAGATATGGAAAATACCCACATGGGATGCATACAGTTTTATAAGTTTAACAAATTAGCATATTTGACAAAAAAATCCCCAATTAGGAGCACAAGTGATGAAGTAGTTCTTCCCAGTTCAACCATCTCTGAATCCCACCCCCCCTTTAGATAGAGACTAAATGTTGTTTATAAAAATGTGTTTTGAAGAGCTGTTTTCAGCCTTGGTTCCCAGGAAGAACCAAGATAGGATAGGAGCTTTGTAACCTCCAGGACTTGGAGCCTCTGGAATGTGTTTTGTCTTTCTGCCTATCAGGGTAGCGAAAAGGTAGGGAAAAGTACCAGGACTAGCTACGAATACAATAGGCTACAGAGCACAAATATATGTGTAAAAGAAAGAAAGAAAGAAAGAAAGAAAGAAAGAAAGAAAGAAAGAAAGAAAGAAAGAAAGAAAGAAAGAAAGAAAGAAAGAAAGAAAGAAAGAGAAAGAAAGAAAGAAAGAAAGAAAGAAA